CTCTTTCTTATTTTTCTACTGCTCACTTCAGTTTATTGTTTGTGAAACCCAGACAAGTCTAGTCTCTATTTATTTTCCTACAAACGGTACAGATGATCAGAGCTACAGGGACACTTGGCTGAAGACGACACAATTAAAGGAACAGGCCAGACATGTACACATCATTATGAGCACAAAATTGCGCCTATAAAAAGACACACACGCGCGCGCGCACGCACACACACACACACACACACACACACACACACACACACAGACTTCCTTGGGTGTGTAGGTGTATTGTCCTTACATCTTATTCTTGACCTCTTTTGTAAGCTTGCCTGGTCATTGTTCTCAAATGTGGGGAACTTGCTTTATAGCTGTAAACAATGGTGTGTGGTTGAAACTGACCCTGGTCATCGACTGACCACTGGCTGTGTACACAGCCCGAGTGTGCGAGGGGCGAGGGGGTGGGCAGGGACGGGCTGGACGAGTGAGCAGAAGCTGTGTCGCACGTGATGTGCTAAGGATATCCTTTTTTCCCTAAGGCTCATTGAAAGCCAGGAGAAATTAGGAGCAAAGATCAGATGAGAATCTCTGAAGAGATGCATGGTGTCCATGTCTAGGGCAGACCGGAAGGCACGGAGAGCAGAAGCAGAGATGAACGAGCGGGTTTCGGGTCCAGGACGGGTTTATGAAGGCCCTGATTACCGCCAAGGGGGTGCACGGAGAGCACGGGTTGGGTGTCAGAGCTATCGAAGACACAGAAATCATCAGAAGTGGTGATGAGGAGAATAGGAGGGAGGTCAAGGTTGACTCCCCAGTTTCCGACTCAGAGGGCTGGGTGGGTGGTGGCACCCATCGCAGAGATGAGGAGGTGACACGGAGCGAGGGGCACATCTGGGGGCAGAAAGATGATGTCGTCATTCGATCCTGTGTGCTGCATCCGTGTACTCGTGCCTATGAGCAGAGGCAGCCCGGAGATGGGGAGAGAGGTCAGGACAGGGGCAAAGGGCCGAGAAGCTCTAAGAAGAGCAGTGCCAGGAGTCATGGATGGGGTGAAATCACACCTTGGGAGGGGAAGGGAGAGATGACAAGCAAGATGAGACCTCGTGGACACTGACGCTCACAGGTGAGCAGAGCAGGGGAACCTACCGCAGAGCTGGGGACAGAGGGACCAAAGACGAGGTGGACCAGGAGAGCGCAGAGCCACAGAGCCACGCAGGACTCAGGGAGCAGGTTCAGTCGAGGCCAAAGCCACAGGTGCCACGTGGAATTGGAGTCCAGAGGCCTCTAGGGACCAGGGGTAAGATGGCACCAGAAACTGCATGACCACAGACTGAGGGACCAGAGACACGTGGGGAGGGGGCGACTGCTCGCACGGACCCGTTTTCTGCCTTTGCCGTGAGCAGAACAGAAAGGCAGGCAGAGGCAGTACCGGGGTGGCTGCACATTACGGGAGGGGACTTTCTTTGATCAAGGTGGGAGCGACGTGGCCAAGAAGGGAGAGGTGGGTGGAGAAGCAGCTTGAGACAGAGAACAGAGAGGAAAGACTCGAAGGGACGAGCTGTGCGGCGGTGGAAGGGGCTAGAATCGCAGTGCGCGTGGGTCTGCGGGTGCTGGATGACAGGGCCTTCGAGATGCTCACGTGTGCAGTGGGGGGCTGGGAGGCCACGAAGACGGGCGGGCACAGTCAGGTTTGCGGCTAAGGAAGCAGAAGGGTGATGGAGCTCACTGGGGCTGGCTTTTGTTTTCTCTGCAAAATCATGAGTAATATCATCTTTTTGGAGCAAAAGGCTGGAGTATCTGGTGTGGAGTCTGCAGCAGGAGGTAGAGCCACGGTGGGCAACGGAGACCCTGAGCAGGCGAGCCTGACGCTACTGGCTAGAAGTGCTGGCGATCGAGGTGACGCTGGGCACAATCGATGAGGCACCGACCTGCAGTTGCACGAATTCTTTTTTGTTTTTTCTTGATCACACTCAGCAGTTCAGGGGTAGAAGTAAAAGGTGTGTGCGGCTGAGCTGATCCAACCCTGGGAAGTTGTGTGTGTGTGTGTGTGTGTGTGCGTGCGTGTGTGTGTATGAGATAGAGCAGCAAAGGCAGGTGACATCCAGGGTAAGGGAGTGGCTAGAAGGGTGCACGATGGGTTTGGACTGAGTCGGCAACGAAATACGACAGGCAGGGCTGGTAGGCTCTTGGCAGCCGGAGGAAGTGGATACGCAGTGGCCCCTTTCTCTGTTTTGTTCACTGCTCTGACCTCAGCTCCCAGAGCAGTGCCTAGAAGGGTGGGCAACCTGCCACCTCGAGGCCACACGTGGCCCACCAGATCCCCAAGTGTAGCCCCTCGACTGAATCCAAATTTATTTTGTTCTGCTCTGTCGCAAAGGCTGTGCGTGTGGTGTGCAGATTTAAGGTATAGATGCTTAAACTAAAGAACAAAGGTGACGAGGGACTCAAGAGTCAGGCTGCGTCAGGACACGCAGGTGGAGCGGCTGGCTCGAGACAGCTGCTCGGAGCCAACCATGCTTCTGTTTAGAAACACACAGGTAAAGCGCCTGGTTGGACAGAAACCCTTTTATGGACTCAAGCATATTCCAAGGTCTGGGTCTATGATGCAGATAATTTATCGTACTACTCTTTTGGAGACAACATCCTCTGCACATCCCTATAAAGGAACAAGGTTAAAAAAAAAAGAATTCTTCCCAGGCTGAAAATCGGGGCAAAAATGTAGAATTCACCTATGTGGACAATCTGCCTCCTTTCTCGGAGAAAACAAACTATTGGTGGTTTGTCACCACTGAACTCAGGACAGTGGGGGCGTTGGGATGCTCTGTGGCCAGGACCAAGGGATGCCCGCCTGGGAGGCTGCCGCCATCATCCAAGTGACAGCAGGTGAGGGCCTGAGTTCACACAACAGAGAGGAGACGGGAGTGCAGAGAGATTCTGGAAGTACAGCAGAGAATTAGTGCACATAGAAATTCAAGGAAGAGGAAAGAAGGAAAGACTGAGATTTATAGCCTCGGTGACTGAGTGTGGATAATGTCACAGATTTGATGGTACCATAGAAGGACTGGGGAGGAGAAGAGGGAAGATAATGAATTTGGCTTTGGACCTGATGAGCCTGAAGTACTCAGGTGTGGCCCTCCAGGACCCTGACACCCTCCAGAAAGATCGGCTTTCACGGGAGCTAGAGAGGGAGGAGCCATGTTCTGTTAGGTGCAGTACATTAAAAAAATATAGCCAAGAGCAGCTGTCCCTAAGTGAGGTTTTGGAGATTTTTTTTCTAATGAGTGTTCTGTAATGTCCCTGCTTTGGCCAACTAGAAAAACGGGTGGCCGGTGGCAGAAGTGTCCTTCTGGGCTATGGGTCAGAGTGAACATAGCATTTGGGTCTGCAGCCAGCCCGTTCCCCAGCTCTCTTTGTTGCTAGCACCTGTCAGACCTCTGCAGCTCTCCATGTTATTTGGTTTTACGCAGAGAAGACAGCTTGGAGAGATTTGGAAGGATCTGCACGTTTTTGGGAAAGAACACTTCCCTATCAATCTCAGAGTGCCCTCAAGCTTTCCTACAAGGGTCCTGGTTCTCCAAACCCACAAATAACTCACAACAGACTATTGAAAATAAAACCACCTAATATGTAACCTAGCCCAGTATTTTCTCTTCCTGGTTAATGTCGGTGAAAACCACCACGGAGAAGGGGAGAGGCTGACAGGTGGTCAGGGTACCGACCCACCTGCAATCACAGGTTAACGAGCTGCTTCGGCCCAACCACCTGCCCTTCCCGGTGCAATAGTTATTCTTTGCTATCTATGGTTGCTTTCCCATAGATCTGAGAAACTATAGACACCGTTCAAGAGAATATGGCATCGCGATCATTCCCATCAGTGATGGAAACGGCTACGAGGAGCTCGGATATGTTCGCAGCTGGTAAACAAATCAAAAACGCATGAAAGGCAAGTTTGAACTGACTCCGCCAGCTAATGGAAAGACACACACTCCAGCCTCTTCAGTGGACTCTTTGACTCTTATGGTCCTTGCCATGCTCTCTACGAAGAACTGAATTGCACATGCTTTGTGTCCTATGCCTGGATTGCTGTTAGCATATTTTAAACTATGCATTGGGCGAAGTGTTCGTGTCCATGCGAAGACCGTGGCATCAGAACTCCAATGCCTCTGCAAATGGGTAGCAATCAAAGTTCTGCACAGATAGAACCTGCTGGGTCCACAGACCGAGTACTCAGGGTGCTGCAGGATCTGGGGGCAAGATTCTGACCTTGATCCTGATTCGTACTTTGACCCGGAACCCCTGACTTGCCTTGCTCCCACCACCTTTTGCAAACAGAAGTGCTAAGACCCGTCTTCTTCATAAGGCTGCTGCAAATGTTAACTCTTTAAAGCATCAAATCCCAAATACAGTTCCTTTTGCAAATCACAAAATAACATTTCTTAGAATAGATTTATGGATAGAAAATGCCCGGGATTTCTGATATGTTATTAGGCCACATTCTCCCTTGCCAGGAAATACCTTGATCTGTGGTTTGCTGCTGGGTTTCAACGACTCCTATTTGGGATAAAACACACAAGTTTCCAAAGATTCAAGTGGCATTTGTGACAGAAAGAGAGAAGATAGAGACATTTGTTATGTAGCTTCAAATTGCCACCAAAAAATAATCCCAGGGCATGAGCTATGTATGATAAGAGACTCAGCTTAGTTCGAGGTATATGACACCCCCTCCCAAAAAAAGCAAAAAAAAAAAAAAAACAAACCGGTTTCTATGTTCATTCCACACAAGCATCATAGTGCAAGCGCACAAACACATGCCGATCGCTGCACACAAACCAACGTGCTGTACACACTCACACCCTGCATCTGTATCTACGAGGAATACAGCTAAACAACGCCCTTTCTCCCTGGCAATGATCCAAGACAAATCTGACCTGCCTTCGCCTTGAATCTCTCTGCCCTCCCCGACTTTTCTGACACAGAACAAAAACAAAAACGCAGACACCAGGTGTACATACCTGACACAGAAGTATAAAACCACGGGTCCTGACTTTTTAGGGAAGTCATGTTCCAAAACTCTTCGATCTAGTTGAAGCCAGTTTAAGTGTCCCCTGAGGAAAATAAAGACACGCTGGTTAGGGCTTTGGATTTTGCAGAGGCTTTTTGGGATGAGGGGGGTATGTGGAGCGGATCGTGCTGGATTGCAGATAAATGTGGACCTTCGCCCCTCACTATTAGCTTTTCAGGATTTGAAGACCCTAAAGGAATTATCTAGGGAATACTGCATGAGCAGGAGACACTGTGTCACCTGACGGGGGAGAAAAGGCATCAGAAAGTCCTGGGGTTGAGACCTGCTGTCTGTTTCCCAGACTGCACTCAAATGAAAATTAAACCCTATGGAATATTTCAAATAATTACACTTCCACCTACCATATGACCCAGCCGTTCTACACCCAGGAAAAACGAACGCATCTGTCCCCACAAAGATTTTTGCACAAACATTCATGGACACTTAATGGACATTTCATAGATATGGTCATAGCCCCCAACTTGAAACAATCCAAATGTTTATCGACAGCAGAATGGATAGACAAATTGTGTTACATCCATACAATGGAATACTATGCAATAGTAGGAGAACGTACTATTGATATGTCAACTACGAGGGCTGTCTGGAAAGTATCCAGCCATGAAACGATTCTTGTTATATTTAACAATGGATGGCTGGATACTTTGTGGACAGCCCTTGTATATATAGCAACATGATGAATTGCAAAATAATTATGCTGAGTAAAAGAAGACAGATAAAAAAAAAAAGCCAAGTACAGACTGTATGATTCCATTTATGTAAAACTCTAGAAAATGCACACTAATTACAGTGATAGAAGGCAGATCGGTCGTTGCCTGGGGGCGTGGCTGAGGGGTAAAAGAAGAAACATTTTGGGAGCGATGGATATATTCACTGCCTTGATCGTGGTGATGGTTTCATGGATGTGGATATATGTCCAAATTTATCAAATTGTACACTTTCATGTATGTAGTTTATTGTATGTTAATTATACCTCATTAGCACCATTTTAAAAAGTGAACCACAGAGATACGTGATGATATGCGAATGGAGTCAGCGCTGCATTTCTTCCTTCCTTCCCTCCCTCCCTCTCCTTTCCGTCCCTACACATTCCCTGGCCACCTTCTCTCTAAAGCGTCCGGGGATGGGCGGCCAGCAACATGCACACAATCTCCACTCCCCTGGAGCTTATGCTCAAAAGAAGAGTTTGTTCATCGATTGAATGATGGATTACCCACAAGAGCAATCCATCCCATGACCAGGGAGATTTAAATATTCACCTTGTGCCTTTACAATATTTCTTGATAAATAGTCTGGTGGGAACCACCTTTACATTATTCTCACAAGAGAAATCTCTGAGTCCCTCACAGACTAGAACAGCACAAAAGCACAAGACTTTTTTCCAGCCACGTTACTGCCCACACAGCCTGCTGGGAATTTGACTTGGATCTCCGGGGCCCGTCACTCACACGGGAAGAACCGCAAGGTGGGGACATGTTGCAAGAAGAGCCAGAGACAGATGTCACTTGGATGCCACTCCGTTGGGTCTCCCAATTCTTCATTCACGTTAACAGAAGACAGAAAAGTGGATTCCCTCTCTATGTAATTGCATTCCTCACATTAAACTTTTTAAATGAAAGACTTTTTAAGTGATGGATTTAACTGGAAATTCCTTTGTTCCCCGCCATATGTTGGTTTAGCATTTATCAACTAAATGACCAGAAAGGAAAAAAAATGACCAGGAAGCAAAGAGAATGAGGCGGCTGGAATTGCCCCTAAATGGAGCCTCTGAGGACAAATGACTTTCCTTTCTCCACCTCCCCTGCTGAACTCTTCCTCTCCAATTCTGCGAGGATGGCAGGACGCACTCGCTGGCATGGCTCTGATGGCCAATGGAAAGGAGGACTTTCTTATACCCAGAGCCCTTGCACCCTTGGGGGGCGGGGGAGGAAGTTGGCTCTTTCCATGTTCTGAGTTTGTAAAAGTCTCTCACCGAAGGGATAGGCGATTCGTCCAAGGTCCCTTACGATAATTGCCCACTATTTTGGGCTAAAAGATGGATTAAAAAGCACACTGGGCATCTACCCAAAGGAACAAAAGACATTCTATAAAAAAGACAACTGCACTAGAATGTTTATAGCAGCACAATTCCCAATTACAAAGATGTGGAAACAACCCAAATGCCCATCAGTACATAGGTGGATTAATAAAATGTGGTATATGTATACCATGGAGTTCTACTCGGCCACAAACAACAGTGGTGATCTAGCACCTCTTGTATTATCCCGGATAGAGCTGGAGCCCATTCTACTAAGTGAAGTATCACAAGAATGGAAAAACAAGCACCACATGTACTCATCATCAAATTGGTATTAACTGATCAACATTTAAGTGCACATATAGTAATAACATTCGTCGGGTGTCGGGCAGGTGGGAGGGGGGAGGAGGGGATGGGTATATTCACACCTAATGGGTGTGGTGTGCACCGTCTGGGGCATGGACGTGCTTAAAGCTCTGACTCAGGATGGGGCAAAGGCAATATATGTAACCTAAACATTTGTACCCCCGTAATATGCTGTAAAAAAAAAATAAAAAATTTTTAAAAAGAGAGCGTTATAAAGAAAATTTTTTAAAAAGCACACTGGAAACTATCATATAATCCTGGGGCCCCTATGCTTGGCTGCAGCAGGACTTGTTAGAATGTTATTTTCTGTTCATGGAGTTGGACCTGAAGTCACATTTCCTGCACCCAACAGGGGCGAGGATTCCGCATTGCAGAGGGCCTTTTCTTTTAACACTTCATGGTCCTGACACGTAGTGTCTCCCTCAAATCTTTCATTTTTTCCCTTTGCGTTAGGGTGGGAGGGAACGCCAAGAGGTAAAGGAGTATTTCCTCTACACAGTTTAACTAAGAGACACCGATGGCTTGGTTTCCAATGATTCTCATTGATTTTTCATTTGAGGTCGCACGTGTTTCTGCGTGTTTGCCAGCAACAATGCAAAAAGGCAACCCAGCAGACAGAGCATTTTTGCTATTAGGGGACTGATAACCATCTTTAAAGCTGAGCGAGATAACACTCATTTGGTTTATGGTTGTAGTAGGTCAAAAATGTCAGGTCAGTAATAAATATGCAGTTGCTTCCGGGCAATAGAAATTGGATGCATTTATTTAACAGATTGCTTTTAGTGTCTACATTGAAAACAAATAGATTTTTAGTTCAAGTGTTGGCACCTTCAGTGGGGATGGCCTCGGGGAGAGCTTTGTTTGTAGTTACTGGAGGGAGGGGGAGTGTGATAAGTCTATCCGAGCCCACACTTCTCAGACCTGGTGGGGGAGAATGATGCCTGCCTTTTGGATGTTTTTATTGCAGACGGGTTATTTCATATGGAACAAGTTTCTACAGAAAGCCAAAGCAAGAGTATGAAATTCTTACAGACACTGTTGGATGGAGGTGGGGTGGGGAGCTCTTCGAATGGAAGAATGTTTAGCTATTTAGTGTCTTGACTCTAAAGTATAGGTGCTCATCAGGACAGCCCGGAGACACCGATTTAACTAGAACCCTCAACGGCAGAGAAAGGTTCAAGTAGGGTGTTTACTGGAAGACCAGATTACTAAATCATTCAGCCCCACTCAGTTTCTGGCTTTAATTTTTTATCTACGGAAGAATTATTTACTCTGCTGTGTCCTCTTAACGCTATTCCAAATTTTCTCTTTATTTATCAATCTATTTATTTTTATTTAAATAGATTTAGGGGGTATAAGTAAGTAGTTTTTTGTTACATGGCTGAATCCTACACTCTATCTTATTAATCACCTAAAGTGCAAATACCAACTGGACAAGGAGTCAAAGGTCAGTTATTTCTGTGTCTCCTGTGGTTACCAGCAGACACTAAATAAGTATTTGGTAAGAGAATGAAGATACCAGCCTCACAATATGCCCCACAGATCGATGTTCTTGCAGGTTCAAGGACCGCCACCCAGGTATAGGCATCGTTCCCGTCCTAAAGAAACGACGGGCTCCATGTTAGGAATTCACTCTGCTCACCTGGTCCGGAATCCCATTTGCCTCCTACCATTTGCACTGGGAAGGAAAAAGCGAACAGGAAGTCCGGATCACTGAGCCCTCCTTGGACTGCACCATTCTTTTTTCTTTATCTCAGCTACACACAGAACGAGTTGCACTCAAGCCCCTCTCTGGTCGCTAAATAGAAGGGACCGTTGTTTGCTGTAATGTCTGGTAGCGTAGCCTGGGTCACATCTTGGAGGCGGTAACAAACGCGGATGCCACGTCCCCAGAAGCAGCTATTACACTACAAGCCAGGCATCGCAGCCAGACTATTGACTTTCTCCTCTCTCGCCGAACGGCAGATAATAACTGGAAATCCCAAACCCATTTCTAAATAAATTATCTTCCCAGAACGGCTTCTCGTTGTTGTTTCTTCTGCAATTGGAAAATTGCTTTCCTATGTTGTTTATTTTTAAATTGTAGATAAGCTTGTAATCAGGAATGCTGAACGACTAGACCCTTTTCAGATGCCCTGGCCAATGCTCGAGCAAATGCCAGGATGCCAAAGCAGAACAGGGCACGCCCCCACGTGCCAGCACATCTGGCACTGGATCTAAAGGTGCATTTCCAACGAGTCAGGCCATTTTACACCTTAATTGTTCGGGTAAATCAGTCCCCAAATAGTACCAATTAAGCAATTCAGTTCGTTGAGACACAGGATGCTGGGGGCAGAAGAACCTCAACTCAACTGTCTACCCTATGGGTTCTTTCTAGAATCCTGGCTTACGGGTATCTATGAATCCTCTAAAAATTTAAGCAAAAATTATTTTTGTAAACTTTTAAATGTAAACTTTTGTGAAGGAAAGTGAATGTAACTTCTTAACAAATTTCAAGGGCGTCTGTGATTAAACAAGAGGTTAATAACTACTCGTATTCTTAACTGGTGTGTGAAAATATTAATAACTGTGACCTGGCTTTTACAATACGCAGTAATGGCTAACCAAGTTTACTCTCCACCTCTCTCGAATTTCTAAAT